GAGTTTCGACTAACAAGAAATGTCAAGCAGTAAGTACGTAAGTAAGTAAGTACGTAAGTAAGTAAGTACGTAAGTAAGTAAGTACGTAAGTAAGTAAGTAAGTAAGTAAGTACGTAAGTACGTTTTTGCACCCCCATCGACACAATACTACTAATAATAAATCGACTTTTCCTACCCAAGAATTCTAAAGTTATATCTGCTCAGTACTTAGTCTTGAGAAATGTGACGTTGAAAATGTTAAGCTTCACAACACTTCAAGCGTTTTAGAATGCAACTTTTTGAATATCTTGATTGTGACTTAGAATAATTTTACAATTTGGGTGGAGCAAATAGAACATTTGGGGTTTCTCATGGTACATGTATTAGTAACTTAATACTGCCAAAATGTCAGCTATAACTTTGTAATTATATGGTAGCGATTTGAATAGTTCAAATTCTCGCTCAACAGCAAGCTCTATGCACTTTAAAATCTATATTATTACCCAAGAAGACCTGATGGCACTCTGAAACAATTTCAGCTTCCAGGAAGCACACAGCACAAACTGCCATTTTATAGGCGCTAAAACACTAACGTACTGACAATATCCTTCGCTGTCTAATGCTGGTACCCATTCCCACTTAGGTGAAAGAAAGAAAATCTGTGTAAAGTGCCTTTCCCCAAGGACACAACATCGGATATGAGGCTCGAACCCCTGAAACTGCAACCTCACGATTATGAGTCCAGTAGCCTAACTTCAGTCTGTTTGTTTGTATGTTTGTTTGCTTGTTTGTTTGTTTGTTTATTTGTATATTTGCTAGGGGATTTTTTTCTAAGCTTGAGTAGAACCACGAATGTAGAGACACGGAGCAACACCCTCTACACGCCCAGTTTCACCATCATCACATAGTCATCAAGGCTATCACCACAAGCACAACAAGCACAACAACCACAACAATCACAACAACCACAACAATCACAAAAACCACAACAATCACAACAACCACAACCACAACCACCACCATCACAATCATCAAGGTCATCACCACAACCACAATCATCAGCATCACCACTACCTTGATCACCACAAGCACCACCATCTCAATCGTCAACATCACCACCATCGTCATCGCCACAACCATCATCACCACGATCATCAACATCACCACTACCATGATCACCACAACCACAACCACCACCGCCACCACCACCACACATATACACACACACACACACACACACACACACACACAGACATACATGCTCACTCACTCTTTCTCAAAAATGCTCAAACAAACGGAAAAAGGAGGACGGGAGAATCCTAAACAAAGACACAATTTTTGAAAGGCGATAAGTGACAGAGAAATACTGTATTTTTTTTATAGACCAGGGGTGAATTCACCGCTGAATTCGACGGCCAGGCTTAAGAATGGCCATTTTGGGAACTGCGCATTTTAAGGAAGTTTGACATTCTAGTTTTTAAAAAAAATTGACACTAACATACAAAAATAATTCACAGTGCATACAGTTTTGGCCTTTTACTTGTTTAAGGAGAAGGAAATTTTGTTAATTTTCATTTTGTGCGCAACTTTTTCCCCACATGTCTGTATCTCCATTGAAGTTTAAAAGTAGATTTTTAAAAAGGTATTTCAGTATTTACAGCAACCGGGCTTCTAACATTCTATCCATGGTATGAATTGTTTAGGGTAGTTTCTGTGTGCCTCGAAATGTCAGCGAAATGCTTTTTTTCTGAGGGGGGGGGGGCTGATTTTGTTTTGTTTTTCAATGTACAATCTTCCTTATTTTCAAAGTCTAATACCTTTTTACCTTTTTCTCTTTTAATATTATATTGTAGCAAATATCTTTAACCACTTTAACTAACGACAAAGTGGGTGGTTCGCGGAAGCTCTTGTGTGGCCTGCTCCTACTTTCCTTTTAACATGTGGTGAGGGGGCTCTCGTGGCCTTGAGGTTAAGGTGTTGGCCTCTCATTTAAAGGTCCCGGGTTTGAATCCGGGTAGCGACCGAAAAATGTTCTTCTCTAAAATTGTCTCCTTTCACCTCCTTTCCTGCTCTCTAGCAATGTTCTGTTGTCTGCTTTCA